CTCAGAGAGGTTGAGAACCACTGTTCTAGACAATAGGATATATCGCGTTGGGTATGAGAAAATGCCTGAAAGTTTTGTTGCAAGGAACTAATCGCCCAGGCATTAGCGTCTAGGCGGGATTCAGAGTCCTCAACTCCGTGGAGTAGGCGAGTGACTTCTCGCCGCAGGGACAAGATATCTGGCTTCAAAGAGAACTATGGCTTCAAAGAGAACTATGGGGTAAGTGTTTTTCCGCATAGTTCTCTTAGGGGCACAGGAGGACATAAACTAGGGTCCTCCCGTGACCCAAAGCTCAGTATATCGCAAGCTACAGCTTGCAGTATACTGAGACCGCCGCAGCCGGGACGTATCCCGACATTACGGATCCACCCAGCTGCGTGAGTGACAGCTGGCTCTGCCTATCTATAACGCTAGAGGAGCGGGGAGGGGGGAATCCCTGCAGGGAGCCGTGACTGACAGTCACTTCTCTCTGCAGTGAGATGATCGAGACGTGAGCGACAGTATGTGTTCACGATCACTCACGATCTATTGAGCCGACGTGTGACAGTTTCATTGTCACACGTCGGCTTGATCTATGAGGATGAGTGATTTTCACTCACCTCATAATTCTCCTTTCAGTGAGTGTTCTAGGCGGGAAAACATCTCGGAGAGCTCTGACTTGGTGTCCACTGCAGCTGGGAGATGACAGTCCCCCTCTTCTCCAGAGTCGGAGCCTTAACCGACGAAGTCAGTGTCGCGGTCATGTGGGGAGGAACGGGGAGAGATGGAGCACAGTGGAGGGCCTCGTGGCGTGGGACGATCCGAGGCATCCGGCACTAGAAAGCGTTTAATCGTCCCGGGTGCAGACAATTTAGTGGTACCGGAGTGTGCGGACTTCTTCTTCTAAATGGTGACAGGTTTGAGGGCTGGTGAGTGTCGATTGCGGGATGCAGTTTTAGCAGGCAAGATGGAGCTCCTTCTAAGAGCGTCTCGCCGCCGCCATGTGTAGGACACACCCCCCAGTCCTGTCTTTTAATCCAATGGTCATGCTAGGAGACAATACTTTTGGTACAGAGTACTGCTGAGGATTTCAACAACAGCATGATGGTTAGGGAAATCAAGCAGTGCAGCAAGGTTACATAGTTACTTCTGCCTAATCTGCCCCAGGGCAGCCATCCCTGATATATATGACCCATCTGCCTCAGGGCAGCCATCCCTGCTGTATATGACCCATATCAAATTATAGCTTAGCATCATACCTGTTCATTTTCCCGGTTTGTAAAATCTATGAGAGCACAAGTACACGTCATTAAAAGTACATATCTTAAAAGCTGTCTTTTTTGACAAACTCCTACATGACTAATCATGTGCATGAAAAAGAGAAATGAAACATATTTCATAGTTTTTGGAACTTAAATGTGCTGTATGAGCATTTTCATTCACACTTCCTTTGTTTAAGATTATGGCTGCACTCCAGGGTGTTTATATGTGATTTTAGACACCAGTGGCACTGTTTTAGCAGAGATAGCAGCTTAAACACTTGCTGACCAGGGGGTTTACACCCCCTTCCTGTCCAGGCCATTTTTCAGTGTTCAGTGCTGCAGTACTATTTACTGACGTTTATTTCGTCATGCAACGCTGTACTGAAAGGAATTTTATACAATTTTTTGGAGGACAGATAGAGCTTTCTTTTGGTGGTATTTAATCACCACTGGGGTTTTTATTTTTTACTATATAAGAAAAAAAAGTACCGAATATTTAAAGAAAAAAAGTTTTTCCCTTTTTTATTTTAGGAAACATTAATTTTTACCCAATTTTTTGGTGTAATATAAAAGACGGGGTCACGTCGGGTAAATGGACACCAAACATGTCAAGCCTTAAAATTGCGGGCGCCTGCGAAATCGCAAAAAACGACTATAGCCAAAATTGGCCATAGGCGACGCTTTAAAAGATTTTACCACTCATCAGTTTAGTGTTATCAGTGATTAATCAGCAGATAATAATTGCTCGCACTCCGACGTTTGTGGCGATATGTAACATGTGCGGCATAATTGGATCAATCGTCGTTTTTGTGTGTAGGCGCACCTAACGCATTTTTGCGCATCTATGTGGGGAAGGGGGACTTTAAACATTTTTGGGGGGGTTTTTGTGTGTAAATTGTTTTTTTTTTACACTTAACTTTATTATCACATAGGGTGCTAAGAAGTACCCTATGTGATAACAAATTACAGTGACAGGTACCCTTTATTGAGACATCAGGGGTCTCTAAGACTCCTAATGTCACCTAGGGACCGCCAGAGAAGCTGATGAAGCACAGATGTGCTTCATCAGCTTCTCTCCGGTTTCTGTACCGGAGAGTGACAGAGGAATGCGGAAGTGATGTAATATACATCACTTCCTGCATTCAGAGACCGGGAGGAGAGCAGAAGGAGATTGTGTACTGAACTCCCTCTGTTCTCAGTGCACAGGGCCACATCGCCCGGGATGGATGGACGCCCGAGATCGCTGGGACGGTGGCGGCGTGGACAGCAATGGCGAGAAGAGGTAAGGAGGGGGGCGCACCTTGACTTGCATCATACAAGCGACCGGGCGTCTTTACAGATGCTGGACCGCTTGTATGTAGACGACCGGCCATTGCTGGCCGTTTAAAATCCCCACTCATGCGCGCCAGGGGGTGCGCGCGATCAGGCGCGGGCACGAAGGACGTTTAAAGACGACCACCCGCATCCAGGAGACTCCCGTCTGGCCGCCTTTCAACGTTCGGCGGATGGGAGGTGGTTAAAGTATACAAAAAGGAGCCGAAAGAAAAAAGGGACCCCCTGGAAAAGCACCCTCCCAATGCCTAGCGTCCACCCCCCTCTTCCTGTCCTCGCTCGTCCCCCTCACTTCCTGCCCTGCCAGGCAAGTGCTCAGATTAAGGGTCTGGTTGGGGATTTTAGGGGGGACCCCACTTTTTTGGGGAGTGGGGTTCCACCTTAAAATTCCTACAGACCTAAAAAGCCTGGAATGACTTTTGGGGGGAACCACACTCCCTTTTTCTTATGCTTTACTTTCACTTTTTTTCTTTTGTTTACGTTTTTTTAAATTCTGTTCACTACCTCAGAGGTAGCGAACAGAATGACTGAGCCGAATGCGGCTCTGCATAACTTAATAAATGAATATTTAAAAATTGCTGCTTAGGTTTTACTTGTCTGTACTGTTCTGGCAGATCTCATCAGTTGTGCCTTGCGATCCCGTGCGGTTGATCTCATTGCGGCCAGAGGGCGTGACTACGGTGCCATTCACTTCAATGGCCCGCCACGCCCCCTCCTGCCCCACAAAAAAGTGAGCCAGCCGCAATGCGATGCAGTGCGGTCCGGCCAAAATCAGGCCGGAACACACTGCATCTGGTGTGAATGTACCCTAACAGTACCTGTGTAGGGAAGATAGATTCCATAGCTCCACGCTCCTTCACAGCAGCACCAGAGAGAATAGTGGGTGCACAGGGAGTTGGTGTAGGGAGGGTGTTGTGGGTGCTCTATTGTGCCCATGCTCATATCTATGAAAATCCCTAAAAAGCAGCTGTAAAAATTGACCATTGAGACTTTAGGCTCTGTAGAGATCAGTATACCTATAATTATCTTACTGAAATAACTGACACTGTTCTTTTCAACAAACCCCCTGAAAACTAGGGCTGCGGAAATTAACGATTAATTCCTCGATTAATCGTAAATTTTTTTGATCGATTAAAATGATTTTGATCGCTACTCACCTCTCCGCAGGCTTCCGGGTCTTCCGTCTGAGATCCGGTGACGTCACGGACATCGACGTCACCGGACTCCTCCCCCCTTCCCCAAGTGACTCAGTCGGCTAACGAAGGGAAGGGGGGAGGAGTCCGGTGACGAGGATGTCCGTGGCGTCACAGGACTCCTCCCCCCCTTCCCTTCGTTAGCCGACGGAGCTATTGATTCCCTTATGTACTGCAATGTTTTTGTATCCTTAAAGTGAACCAGTATATGAGCAACGCATATACTGCAATGTAGGAGGCTAGAGGAAAAAAAAAAAAAATACTTCCCTCGTTTGTCATTAAAATAGTCTAGGTGGGCTATTTATATCCAATTTGCACAGTCATCCGGCCATGTTCGGATGACTGTGCAAATTGAATGTTTGTTTTGTGCGAATAGACCCAAGAATTAATGTTCTTAGATATCTTTTATTTTCTGGGGGAATGTGTGTTGTGGAATACAGGTTTTTCTGCAACTAGATGGAGCTCCTCAGCTCCACCTAGCAGAAAAGCCCTCAGATGGCTGTTTTGCCCACTAATCTCTACCAAGTCCAAACACACACACACACACACACCTGTCCCTTCAATAGACCTGACTACGTTATTGCAAACTATAATTTAAAAGCAATAAGGTTAGCAATACTTATTGTGAGATCTCATCCAATCATGGGGGGGATTAGTGAATGCAAGAGATGAGAGACAAACATCATATGCCTGATCTCACACATGCACCACACAACATTAAAATCATCTTTGTTTTCCCCATAATCTCACAGGTTCTTGCAGTTTAGAAACTAGATCTCCCTGGAAGGCATTGGTGATGTAGCTTTCCCAGCGGGAACCGGTAAGACCCTGGCTACATCACCAATGCCTCACTAGACCAGGAGGGGAAATCCTGGTTCAGCATTGGCCTATACACATACAGCACAGCAATGAAGTAATAAAATGAACTAGCACACACTAATCCAGCACATTATTCTGAGTTGCCCCACACAAGCAGCAGCCATATTGAGTGGGGCACGCGAGATGAATAACGTGCTGAATTAGTGTGATCCTAGTTCATTTTATTACTTCATTGCTGTGCTGTATGTGTATAGGCCAATGTAGTTGGATCTGTATGTGCGTTATAATTAATCGATTAAAAAAAAATGTGATTAATCGACCGCGAAAATTTTTATCAGTACCAGCCCTACTGAAAACATAACATATTAATACAGCAACAAAATGAAAATTTTCATCTTATTTGACCTAAACTTACCAACTTCTGAGTCTCCTTGCTGAATATGCATTTTAGCACATCCCAGCACAGCTACTCTTCTCACATAGGAGGCCTTGTCTCTTAGACCATTCTGAACAGGCTGCTGTATGTATTCCTGAATGCCTGGCATTCTACAAAAAAATGTTGATACAATCAGAATTTTTTTAACCTATTAGTACTTAGACATATCTGTGTACATCCTGGCAATGTTCACATTTGGACATTTCACTGAATTGCTGCTATTTGTTTTTCCAGCTTTTCTGGCACCTGGAACAATCATACTAATTACTCTTCAGGATTTTATCAGTCCATTGCAAGCTGCGTTCAGCAGTACAAAGCACTGGTGAAGGGGGACCATTTGAACCCCTAAAACACATTGGCTTATTATGCTAAGAGTCTGAATGCAATTTAATAAGTACTTTATATGTTTCTGATTTCTCCTTGCACACTCAGGAGTCAAAAAAGTTTCAAATTCCAATACCATAAGTGCAGGCAATGTATAGTCCCTACTAGGGATCTGCATGGGCTTGGTGAAAACCGAGTTTACCTGAGCACGTGCAAAACAGTCAGTTACACATCCCCCTCCGGGCCCAATCAACTGCATGTAACACAGGGGTCGGGAATTCCCCTTCCACAGCTGATTAGGCTGGAAAAGGGATGTGTCACTGTCACTTTTGCGTGAACTTGGTGCAGTATGCACCAAGCCTAAGCACATCCCTAGTGCCTGCCTACCTGTATTATAGCTGGTGTATTTACCTTCATGCAAGAAGGTAAATACAACATTGAAATACATACTTCAAACAGTTCTTCCTGTCAAAGGATGCATCATTCTGTGCAACCAGTTTTGTGATCCATGCACATCACCCAGACAGGAAAGCCAGTTCATTTTTACTGGCCCTGCATCACTGTGTTCCTCCAGTACTGATGACAAAGTTCCCAAAAGTGTGCTAGAATGTAAGTGATGTGCAGATAATTTATCACTGACCTGAGGTTACACATGCTGCGCAGGGCTAGCCCTCTCACCATAGGGTTCGGATCTGAACAGTCTTTACAGAGAGTATTGATAGCAAGGAGGGCCAGATCAGGTTTCTGAGGAGCATATGTGCACATATATAAATAAACTAGCTTCTTCTGTACAATATCTACAGTGGCGCTCGCCTTAACCATCTCCATGAAAACACTGGATGCATCCACTCCCTGGGTCATAAGTCTGCAAGAGAAAAAATACAACATATAAAGCATTCAATTTGCATAAAAATCTATATACTTAATAGTAAATTAAAAGTTAAAATGTATTGCATGAAGGAAATAAGCCCAAGCAGTTAAACAGAAATAGATCCAAACAGTAAAATTAAATATATACTTGGATCACTGATGAATTTAAAAATGATTTCCACCTTAAATAACCCTTTAACGCTGTTCTACATCTTTAGCGGCCACCTACAGGCACAGTGGTTTTTACATTATTAATATAATGCAGGGTTTAAACAGCACCAACAGTTTGTGCAGTGCCTGAAGGAAGTTTAAGTACAGATATTATGCGGAGATGGTATAAACTTACCTGAAGAGATGAGTTTCCAATAAAAGCAAGGATTATATTTTATCAAGGATTACATAGTTTGAGAATGTGAGCTCTTATGTAGACCATTTTCTCAAACCTCACGTTGAATCCCTGTCGTCCTATGTCAGAGACACACCACATCTTATCTCTCTAATACAAGATTTAGAAGTGCCTTTCTGCACCGCATACTCCAGGTGAGGCCGAACCACTGATGTGTAAAGTGGCAAAATTATAGACCTATCCCTGCAAAACATTCCCTTCTTGATGCAGGACAGGACTCTACTAGCTTTAATTACAGCAACCTTACATTTTTAAAATCTTATTATATTTTATAACTCCTTTATCTGTGCTTTCTTACTTGAAAAGCAGTTTATAGGCTTCCAAAAGTGAAATAGGAGCCCTAATTCTGGCTCCCCATCACATTAGAATGCTGTCCATAATAGACACCAGTTCCAGTGTTGTGCCGCGGCCGCATCCCTTGGATTTGTCAAGTACAAAGCGCAGTATGTGATGATGCTGCGGCTGTGCTTTGCTAGAACTGGTGCCTGCCATAGACACTGCTCTAAAGCATTGGGGAGCTGGAAGAACGGCTCAAGATGTATTTTCCTAGCAGCAGCTCAGTGGAGCTTACAAACAGCTTTTCAAGTAAGAAAGCACCAAAAAAAAAGAACAAAAAAAAAAGGAAGGGTCAACAAAATGTAGAAACCAATGTGACTGGTTTCACCATGCACTAGCGATGCCTCCCCGTCTCCTGCGGCTACCTATCATAACTGTGTCACATGACACATGGAGCTTCAGGTGACTAGAGCTCCGATTTAAGGCCCCATTCACACTAAGCGGATTGCCACGCGATTTCCACCGCGATATCGCGCATTTTTGCCACGAGAAGTCGCCGGCCAATGATTTTTAATGGAGCTGTCTTAATGTACAGTTCCATGTTGCCCGTTGCTGTCAAAAGTTGCGCCTGCAGGACCCTTTTTTCGGCGGATGTCGCACGATTTTTCTATATTTTAATGCAGCCCGACGGTGAAGGTAGCGCTACCGTCGCCCCAAAAGTCCCGCTATCGCGGCCTTCACTGCAGATGTTTGACAGGAAAAAGTAGGTATCTGCAATTCAATCATAAGACTGTGTCAAACATGTGAAAAAAAAACCCACTAAAGAGGAATACTTTGCCGTTTCTCACTATTATTTGCTAGAAGTTTGGAGAATCTGGGAAGTAGAGATGTGTTTACCTTCATTGTGTTTATCTTTCAGTACCTAACTTTCAGTTCTAGAAAGGTAACAATATTAATACAAATTGGTGTGTACCTAATAGTCCCAGTCAGTGAGTGTTTTCTTACCGAATCACCTTGTGGATGACATTCCTGTACCGCAGCCTGTCTGCCTGGATGTGAGGATTACACAGTGCCCTTTTCAGGTCTTTCACTGCATCGTCTGACCCCAAGTATGGCATTGTGAAGGCTTCAGAGATTTCCAGCCTGCAGTTGTCCTTCTGCCAAATATAAAGAACAGTCTAGCCTGATTATTTGTTTAACTTAAACTGAAAGAGAACCCCTGGTATTGGTTCTTAAAGATGAACTTTACCCATATCTTTGAAATGACAACAAATACACCTTTTAGAAATGTTTAGTAATGACAATCTACAAACAGATACGTCTAGATAATTGGACGGAGCATTTGACGTCACATTGATCTCTACGACTGACGGACGCAGTCATTTGAAACTCTTGCACATACTCTTAAGAGAGAGTCCATGCTATGTTACCACTGCTTTTATGTGAGTAATTTTCTTTTACTAAATCATACTCTGTTTAGATGGTACACGCTATGGTGTTTGCTTTCTTTATTTGGTCAACACGATACTGGCATTGACACCTTATACTGAGGAGGCCTACAGATCGATAAAGATTGGAGGTTATTGCTTTCCTATTCAAGAAGTGTTAAGGTGCCCATACACTGTACGATTATCGTACGAGAATCGCGGGAAATCCTTTCTTGATCTTCAATCTTGATTTAGATCAGTGACTCAGAAAGCTTCATAGCCAGTGATTCAGCACAACAACCAGGCAACTAATATTTCCAAAAGCAGTTTATAGATTGCAACCCCTGTATTTCTACCATGGCAGGTTTACTTTATAGTGGAACTCAATTTAATTAAATAAATTGGCTTACTATACAAATGCAATGCATATACAAGTCTATGCCCCCAAGGAATGTGGATATCCCCACTCAAGAAAACCTGCATACAGGGTAATAATAATTTTATTTCAGCTGTTCTGTTCCTACCTATCCATATGTAAAGTGAAACAAAGCTTTTGACATCTTTTGATGTCAAACTGTCACCTAAAAGCACTGGTCTGGTGAAGGTGGTATGGGGACATATGGAAAATCCATTGGAAATTTGTAATCATACAAAGGTTACATATGAGTGCTTTAAAGTCACTCTGGAGGGAAGTTATCAATACCGGAGTAGAAGGAATCTGAAGCAGTTGCCCATAGTAACCAATCGGCATCTATCTTCAGTTTGTTCAGTTAGGCTTTGAAAATTAAAGAGAGAAAATTATTAGTTGCAATGGGTAAGTGCTCCAGATTGTACTCCAGTATTGAAAAATTCCCCTCAATGTCTCTGGGTTAAAAAGATGTAAAAATGAAGAACTGTGAAAGTAGAGGCTTTATACAAATCTGTCCCTCCACACTTGAAGAGCAACCGGCTCTTCAAATCAAACACACTTAAATGAGAACTATGGGGACAGTGCTTTTCCCCCAAAGTTCTCCTAAGGGTAACGGGAGGACAGAAGTTTGTGTCCTCCCGTCACCCAAAGCTCAGTATACCACAAGCAACAGTTCGTGTATACTGAGACACCGCAGCCGGGACGGATCCGGACATTACTGTTGAGATCCACCCAGCTGCGTGATTGACAGCTGGCTCTGCCTATCTAGAGGCAGAGCCAGCTGTACCCGGCCCCTCCCCTGTTCATTCCGCCAGTCAGCGCTGGAGGATCTGAGAGGGGGGAATCCCTGCAGGTAGACATGAGTGACAGTCACGGCTCTCTGCAAGGATAGATCGAGAAGTGAGCGACGGTATGTGTTCGTTGTTTCATTGATTTTCACTCGCCTCATAGTTCTCCTTTTAATTTCACACTTGCAAAGCACAATATTGCACATTTATGTGTGTTTGTTGTGAGCTGATCATTGTATGTTTGTTACACCTCTTATTTGGGGTGCCATTGACAACACGTTCACACAGTACACAAGTATGAATAGGGGCTTAGAGGCATGTCAGATCCCCGATCCCCTGCCATGCACTGTGGTTCCTTCTGCTGGTCACTGTGTCACTAGAGGACACAGTACTACTTAGGAAAAGGAACCACAGCCCCTGGTGGAGTACCAGGTATCCGACATTCCCAGAAGTGTGAAGCCAAATGTGAAGAATATTCACAGCCATCACTCTTGTACAGAATGCAGATCAGAAGAACGGATGGAGGGACAAGTGACTTCTTTTGCAGGTCTTGCTTAACTGCCAACTTCTAACTCTTATATATTTTACGCAAACAACAGAGTCTAGTTTGAAGTGGATGTAAACACATTCACACTTGAACATGATTGTTCATGAATGCTCAGGTGTAAATGAATGTCATTTTATTTGTTAAAGGGCTGTATATCATAAACAACTGCCATTTAAAAAAAACATTTATACTGAATAGCAGAATCACCACCCATTATTTTAAAGTAGATAGGAACCCAGCACATCAACCATGGAGCAACTGGTCCATATGACATAGCTTTATCGCCCTCAATAGCTGTGTTAAGAATAATCACCATAAAAATAGCTTTTTGCTCTTATTTGTGGTGATGTGACCTTGAATCCTCACTCTATGTCCCGTCTCTCATTTGCAGTGCATGCAGCTTTCTTCCTAGCACTTATGTCATGACTGTAAGTAATGCTGCCACCCTGGGGTCCACATCCATTGCATGCGCAATGAAGGAATGTGCTACTTGTGGGTCCTTACAACACTATGGGAATCAGTCATCCCAATAGTGTCTGATCCCCGTTGTTAGACTAGCACAAGAAGCAGGAGGATAATCTGGGACAAGAGCAGGATGATCAAAGATAAATATGTTATCTAAGAATATGAACATACATATTTTCATTGTTCATCATATGTAGTGGAACCTTGCAAAAGGACTCTTTGCCAGTTTTTGCCTGATGAGCCACGTAAAAGCTGATCTCCAGGAAAAAAAAAAACACACCCCTCCCCTGATCTAACAGAGCTCGCCCTACCCCTCCATAGATTACCGTAATACTTACTAAGAACCGGGGCTTCCTGCACGTGTTTACATCCAGCGCTGGAGTCCTGGCCATGCCAGCACAAGAGAGCCCAGAAGCTTCTATGGGGGCTCTACTGCACAGGTGTACCCAGTAATGATGTGCTTGATCTTGGCGTGAACTGAGATCACCCAATACCCTCCCCTGTCCAATCATCTGTGGCGAGGGCATTCCCCGCCCCTTTGTCAAGTGTGGTGCTACGGATTGGGCTGGGAGGGGAGTATGTATCACTGACAAGTTTGCATGGGCTTGCAGGAACTGGAATGGCACCAAGCCTATGCACATTCCCAACGGCCTGCAGTGAGAGGTTTATTGGCGCTGGAAGTAAACAAATGTTCCGGATCTTGGGAAGTATACATCTGTGGAAGGGTAGGGGGAAGAAAGAATAGGTGCACTTTTTCTTTAAAAAAAAAAAAAAATCTTATACATGACTTTTAAAATTACTCTAACATGTTAAGACCTTATATGAGGTTTTAGTGATGACAGTTCGCAGCAAGGGCTGGATTTATAGATGGGGGGGGGGGTACACATGTACTTTACCACCACGAAATCTGATAAACACCACAGTCCTCCAGAGTAACACATATTTTGTCACAGATCAGCCCTCACACTTTCCATAAATCCTATGCATAAGTTTCCATATTACACATCACATACCATTAGTGTCAGCAGTCGTGGCGATAACGAAACAGTTAAAGCTTGTTGGCGGGAGAAGCTGAACACAAGCTCCGCCCCGTCCCGACATCTTCCTCCCCCCAAGATATGTATCACACACACACACACCGCCAACCGGACACGAATTCGTTGTTTACCTTCCAATCAGCCAGCCCTCGGAGAAGTGGCGCAGATCGCCGAGCTACCGGCACACGGCGTACTTCCGGGATGGTAAGACAGGAATAGCTGATTGCCGCACACACTGATGTAAGGCGCTCATACTCCTCTTGTACATATGTTCACTGTGCTGTGTATAGGAAAGTGAAAGAAATAATAAAAGCAATCAGTCTGTGACGAATGGGGGTGGTGGTACGCTGCTTCTTCGCTCATTCTTCAGAACATTTTAGCCATAAGTGATGTGCACACTTTATAAATGTAGCTGTGTTTAAATATTAATTAGGGGAAGCATAAAGAGGTTTCATATACTGTCCTGATTCAAACAATGATTGCTGTTCTAGTCATTTTTTTAATTTAGTGACACTAAACTCAAACTACTTTACAACACACACAGGGACCATGAGGAACAAAAGCAATCACCCTCCAGAAGGAAGGACGGTGTCGGCAACAATTCAGGGATGATTGGAGGATCACAAATAAGATAAATTTTTGTTAATGGTTCAGGTACTTGAATGCATTTTTAAGATTCAACTCCTGAGTTTAGTGTCACTTTAGGGGCTCATTCACACGACGGGAATTGCCTGCTGCAGCTCAATGCAGAGGATACTTGTGGCTGGACTCACAGGTGAGTGTGGATATGTGTGGCCGCTGAATCTGTACATATTGTAGCAAGAAGGGGCTGACAGCAGTGTAAAGCTGGCCATACACCTATAGATTATCTGCAGATTTTCTATGATCAGATGGAAAAAGCACAACAGATTCTTCCATCTACGCTAAACTGTGTGGATGGAGGAATCTTCCATTGCGCCAAGCTTCAGTATCTTGCTAGTCGGTGCCGGTGGCTCTCAAAATACCTCAACAATGCCTGCATCCAATCAGATTGTTCAGGTATTTTGAGAGCCAGTGGGACATTCCAGAATACAGAGTGGACATTACTTTAATGTTCTCAGTTATATGACATAGGAGGGTAATCAGGGTTCAGTTAGTATGCTGATGCACCAATAAAAAAGCCTCCTAACTGGATCATATATTCATGATGTACAGCCTCTGTGGTGCACTGTTGCCTTATAATCTAGTGCTGTCAGTTCTAATTTGGTAAAGAGGATGTCAATAACTGCAATATGAAGGTATCCATGTTCAAGAATGTAGATCATACACACTTAAATGATCAGAGACTCAGGGGTGTATTTATAAAATGATTGCAGAGTTGTTAGCTGTACGAACACTTCCTTTTAGATTCCCATTGCATTAAAGCTACCGAATGAAGCCGAGGAGCATATGAAATTCCTATACTCCTCGGCTTCATCTAGTGCCCATAATTTGATTAATATCTAAAACTAAGACATTTGCAGAGGACGCAGCTCTGCAAACAGTTTATTAACACACCCCTTATTTTCCCTTTTGCATCCAACAATGTACATGTCTGACTAACTCTGCATGGTCTTTGATGGCCAATTCACAAATGTAGCTAGTCTTACTCCATACACTGGTTATGTCATCATGATTTTGCTTTGTTATGTGTTTTTATACTGTACTGACGGTGTTTCTCAGCTTTGGTTCCTGTGTACAAAGGCCCCATGCTGTCAAACTGAAATGAGCACATATGGTCAACATTGGTTTTAAACCAATCTTATTTTGAGAGCATACAGTGATAGGCTAGATGTAATTATAGAAAAAGTGAAACCATAAGGATATACAGTGAAGGGAATTTATCAAAACTGGAGCAGATCAGCTTCTCTGTCTCATTTTCAATAATAAAAAGAACAGAGGAGCGCTACTACCCGAAAATGAACTGTTGGTAATGAGTTGGGAAACAAGAAAAATGAATAAACTCACTCACTGTTAGAGGTCTTTCTCAATGAAGAAACGAAAAGGATGTTAACCGCATCTGTATGGGAAGGTTCATTTCCTTCTCTGTAGAATGTTGGCTGGATTATATCATCTCTGATGGAGACAGGAATAATGGTAATGGCTGTGTGGGGAAGGAGCTCCGTGGAGAGGTGGTACGATGTAGAGCAGTGGGTAATCCTTGCGGCTGTCAATATGAAAGGTGGAATCCTCAGTGTGCCTTGGTGTACGATGGAATTTAGCTGGCCAGGATGAGCGTAAAGGCAGATCGATACAGCTCTGTGCAGCCAGCAGTTGTAAGGTGCTGTGCCGCCAACGGATCTGAGTTACTGGGTCGCTATTGGATGGTGAAAATGGTGCTCAGAAGGCAATGAATAGAGGTGGAAGTGACGAGTAGTGGAGCGGTGCTAACGAAACAGTAGTATGGCTACGTGTTTCGAGGCAGTGCCTCTTTCTCAAGCCGGAAGAGAGATACTGTAGAAGTGGCGGGAGTAGGGAAACTGTTTTAAATTTGACAGGTGGGCGGAGTCAGACACCGTCCTCCCATTTGATTGGTGAATGTGGAAGGAGGAGATCAGTGATGGAAGTTTTGAACAAAATAAAAGTTTATAGCCTCATTATCGGCAGCTGAAATAGAAATAGAGTTTAAAACTTAACTTGTAATAACAAACCTAATTAAGATGGAATTAGAACCAAAAACTAGAAACCAGGATGCAAACGATTAATATACATTTGTGGGGAATTTTTATTGTGGGAATGGTTGCTACTGAAGAATAAAAACGTTTAAGAAAATCAATGGCTAAAAATGATGATCATAGCAATGAACAATAACACAGAGCTCCTTTCCCCCACACAGCAATGAACATCATTCCTGTCTCCATCAGGGATGATATGGTCCAGCCATTATTCTACAGAGAATGAAATGAACCTTCCCATACAGATGTGGTTAACATCCTTTTCGTTTCTTCATTGAGAAAGACCTCTAACACTGAGTGAGTTTATTCATTTTTCTTGTTTCCCAACTCACTACCAACAATTAATTTTTGGTTAGTAGCGCTCCTCTGTTCTTTTATTATTGTTAATTTTGCATACAGGGTCCCTCCCCCTTTTTAAGGAGACAGCACACCCATTATTATTATTACCATCACTAACCGTTTCATCAATAGTAGTGCGCTTAACACATTATTGTTTTTTGTCTCATTTTCAAATCTTACCTGAGCAAACTGAAGAGAGATGCTGATTGGTTGCCATGGGCAACTGCTCCAGATCATCTCTGCTCCAGTTTTGATAAATTCCCCCCAGTATATATAAAGACAAATGAAAAACCCAGACTCAGCTATTCTATGGTTAAATTGTACATATGCTTTGCTATCTTCTAATCGCAACAATGTTTTTGAAGGTGTTTTTTGTTTTTTTCTCCCAGATATTCGTTGGCCCTCTGGGTGCTAAGGATGAATGGGGCTATACTTCCAAACACCCCTATAGCTGTGGATTTCTGGCAGATACGGCAATGCAGCCACATCCGACTCTTCTTCCTGTCCCATATGCACAGTGATCATACTGTAGGCTTATCTTCAACATGGAAGCATCCATTGTATTGTTCACCCATCACAGCCAAAATACTGAAACATAAGCTACAGGTACAGTTTTTCATATTGTGTCTGTAGCTAAAATTAAGTGTAACTATGGGCAAAATTTTAAAATGATGTATATGATGTTCTGTCAATTTCTTTTCCTCCCCATCCTGGAACTGTGTCACATTTGACTAGGACATGTGACCACGCACATCATCTCAGGGAAGGAAAATGCCTTTCCCTGAGATCTCATGAGATTTCCCAGCAATGCTCTGCTGATGTAACCTTCCCAGGATGCAATGCTTGGGCACAATTACATCATTTGTGCCAAAGAGGACCAGGAAGCGGGG